CACCTACAGTTTTGCACTGTCTTCATCTAAGATGCCCTTCTAGATCACTGACGTCTTCAGGTGTTCCTGGCAAAGCTGGCAGCAACCTATTGTTGTACTTAATTGTAGGAGGAACTGTCACTGGGACAGGAGCTTATGTAAGATGCTTGAATAAATGTGTTTAACCGGGTGAGGGTGGAGGGAGGGCACCTTTCTGGGTGTCGCACCACCGTAGCCATTTACCTTAACTGAGCCATCTGTGTGCTCCCTGGCCTCAGGTATTTAATTTCAAGGGACATTGCCAAATAATTTAAGTTTCCAAATTTGATATTCTCAAACAGTGTAGTTCTTAGCGGGAAAAACTGCCTTAGAATTAACCTTCCCACATTAAATGAAACTAAACCCAAAAACCGGCCACCTTTGATTTGTCACCATCAGAAAGGCACAACTTAATCAATGCATCTCTTCTGATACCAGTCCTGTTGGCATACAAAAAAGGGAAATAACTAAACAGAAGTATGCCAGAGGAAGGAAAAGAAAACTTGTCAAACTGTGTGATCTCTTCTGAGAAGAGCACTGAAACATCACTCCGTTACCTGGCAAAGTACAACTGGAAAGGGCTTGGCTTTGTCCCTTTGGAAGCATTTATCCTGGAGGCCTGCTTTGATATTTTGCATGTATGAAGTAGCCATTTTTTCCTAAGGGATCAGATTTAATTTGCTGTACGCTGCCCCTTGGACTTGCTTAAAAATGTCACGGTTCTGCTTGCCGAAGCAGAGGTAGCTTTTTTACCCTTGACTTTCGTATGTTTAAGCAAAAGGCTTTAAGAATATCTTTATCTTGATTCTTTTCAACACTGGTGAGTTCTTGTTTTCTGATATTTTTGACATTGTTTCAGTTCCCCGGATATGCTTTTGTCTGCCTGTGCTCTTTTTCGTGCCTGGCGTTAAATTCCTCTGTTCTTGTTTGAGTCTATTTGCTCTGTTCTATACACTACCTAACTGTGGAGATTGGTAAAATGCAAAATGTCTAGGGAGGAAAAGAGATTTCAATTCCCTGGGGGAATTAAGTTTTGTTCAAACACAGTTCTGATGCCATAACACTTGGTTAGCTCCCATAAGTGGTTTGGCATCGGCTGCAGCATTACCTGTTGTGCCTTTGCCTTTTATTTCTTGCTGGAAATGTTCCAGTTTTAATATTCTTTCACAGTTCAAAATACAGCGGTTGGATAGACGGTTGCATTTCAGACCGTCTTGATTTTTTTTTCTCTTTTACAAATGATGCAAAATGAAAGTTAATGTTGTGCACATGCAGCAGGGATTATTGGCAATGCTAGGTTTTGCCTTAAAAAAAGTAGTTTGCCTCCCTCTAATTTGTTAACCGCAGGGGCAGATATCGTACTGTGACCTGCTTCCAGCAGTCTCGTCTTCTGCTTCTCTATGCTACCAGTTTCTCTTGGAAGTTAACATCATGTCTTAAAAAATGTTCCCTCCTGGTCTGTACCTCTAAATTGTATCCCCAGAACATGCAGGCTAGGCTTAAACTGTATCCTGAGTTTAACAGACAAATAAACAGGAGGCTGGCATTCAGACATGGGAGTCTCGTCCAGCTGAAGGCTGTCACCTACAGTAGCCATGCTCCCTGTGTC